AGATCTTGTCCTTAACACTTGTACAAACTATTGAATAATTGATAAAACGTTCGTTAGAATATTTTGTAAGCTTCATAGATCTTGTCCTTAACGCTTATACAAACTATTGGATAATTGATAAAACGTTTATTAGAATATTTTGTAAACTTCATAGATCTTGTTCTTAAAACTTACTTATACAAACTATTGAATATTTGATAAAACGTTCGTTAGAATATTTTGTTCATAGATCTTGTCCTTAATGCTTGTACAAACTATTGAATAATTGATAAAACGTTCGTTAGAATATTTTGAAAGCTTATAAATCTTGTCTTAGCACTTACTTCGATCACTCCTATACAAATTAGATCTTATCATCCTCAACAAACGATGATTCGTTGTCGTCGTTGCTACTAATTATAATATTATTAATATTATTGATTGATGGATCTTCGTATATTACAAATGTAACCAATTAAATCAATTAGCGAATTTTTATCTTTTTTTATTTTTTTAAATGTTTCCTTTAACTAATAAAAATAAATAATAAAAATTAACAAAAGGAAGGGTCATGTCACGAGGGGTCAATACACCCAACATGAGCCACCCGCGTCAGTTCCACCTTCCTAGCACGCGGGACTTTACAGCCGGTCCAAAGTGAGGCATTACACCTAAGGGAGCCGGACACAGGGGACCATATTCGGTACTTCATCATTGCATGACTTTTCTTTGGTCGATACTATTAAACCAATTCTATGACTTATATATTAACTTTTTTTCAAGTTGTGCAAAATATGGGATATCAACCATTTCATTGGATTAAATTATTCCATAATTTTTATTGTGTAATCTAAAAAAAAATAAAATTCAACAGAAAAAGTAGACTGTTAAATACAAGATGTATGACGACATACGAAGCTTCCAAAGCAAGTTTGTAAAATATACTGATGAACGTTTATCAATTATTGAACAGCTTCTATCGAAATAAGTGTTGAAAGTCAAGATCTATGAATCTTTTTGTAAAATATTTAATGAGCGCTTTACCAATTATTCAAATAATTATATAGGCGGGCTTGGTCGAAGTAAGTGTTAAAGTCAAGATCTATTTGCAAATCAAGTTTCCAAAACGAACGTTTATTATTATAGGCGGGTTTGATCAAAGTAAGTCTTAAAGTCGAGATCTATGAAGCTGTTTGTAAAATGTATTTAATTAACGTTTTATTATTATCAATTATTCAATAATTATATAGGTGGGTTTGATCGAAATAAGTATTAAAGTAGTCGAGATCTATGAAGCTGATTGTAAAATATATTTATCAACGTTTTATTATTATCAATTATTCAAATAATTATATAGGCGGGTTTGATCGAAGCAAGTGTCAAGTCAAGATCTATGAAGTTTGCAAAACGAATGTTTATCAATTATTCAACAATTACATAGGCGGGTTTGATCGAAGTAAGTATTAAATTAGTTGAAGCTATTTGTAAAATATATTTATCAACGTTTTATTATTATCAATTATTCAAATAATTATATAGGCGGGTTTGATCGAAGTAAGTATTAAAGTAGTTGAGGTCTACGAAGCTATTTGTAAAATATATTTATCAACGTTTTATTATTATCAATTATTCAAATAATTATATAGGCGGATTTTATTGAAGCAAGTGTCAAAGTCAAGATCTATGGAGTTTGCAAAACGAATTTTTATCAATTCTTCAGTAATTACATAGGCGGTTTTGGTCGAAGTAAGTATTAAAGTAGTCGAGATCTATAAAGCTGATTGTAAAATATATTTATCAACGTTTTATTATTATCAATTATTCAAATAATTATATAGGCGGATTTGATTGAAGCAAGTGTCAAAGTCAAGATCTATGAAGTTTGCAAAACGAATATTTATCAATTCTTCAATAATTACATAGGTGGGTTTGATCGAAGTAAGTATTAAAGTAGTCGGGACCTACGAAGTTGTTTGTAAAATATATTTATCAATGTTTTATTATTATCAATTATTCAAATAATTATATAGGCGGGTTTGATCGAAGCAAGTATCAAAGTCAAGATCTATGAAGTTTGCAATACGAATGTTTATCAATTATTCAACAATTATATAGGCGGGTTTGATCGAAGTAAGTATTAAAGTAGTCGAGATCTACGAAGCTTTTTGTAAAATATATTTATCAACGTTTTTATTATTATCAATTATTCAAATAATTATATAGGCGGGTTTGATCGAAGTAAATGTTAGTCAAGATCTATGAAGTTTGCAAAAACGAATGACCAATAAAAAGTTGTGGGACTAAGTGACTTGTACTATATAAGGTTATGTCGAGAGATATGGTCAAGAGAAGAGTTAGAAAGAGAGTTGTTTTTCAACCAACCCTTTAAATACATCTTTGAGTAGTACAATTTAATTTATTAGACTATTTTGAAGGTTTGTCGCATGCTTTCTCCCAACTTCTTAATAATAATTACATTCATTTATTTTTTATAATTTTCATTTCATTCAAATACATACATATATAGACATACAACTTACAAAAGATCATGTCCCGGTCATTTATCATGATTGGACTTTCAGTGAATCAGGCTATGATATTCCCATTCATGAAGTGACTCTTGAACAATTTCTTAATTTTAAAAAGAAAGAGCTTTCCTTGAAAGGAAACAATAACAACAACAAACTTGATATTGATAATTTTTTAACACAAGATTGTGAAATTATTGAAGAATTCATTCATCCATCATCAAATACCAATAGTAACAACAATAATATTGGTGTTGGTGTTGGTGTTGGTAGTAGCAGTGGCAGCACCAATAATGCAATAATATTAAAAAAGCATAATAGTACAAGTTTTCTTGACTCACATAACAATTTGAATAGTAATACTGAAATAAAGTTTAAAGGTAATAGTGCCGGTTCAATTCAAGCACCATTTGCAACATTGGCTGAAACTTTTAAGGTAATTGTGATAATATTAGTAATATTATTAAATATAATAATATAATATATAATAAAAATGATAATTCCTTTTATAGAAAGTTCCAATCAACATTTGTTTCAATATAGAAATGAAATATCCAATGATTGACGAATCTGAATGTGACAATTTATCACTATTCCATACTGAATTGAATTTTTTTATTGACACCATATTACATTGTGTTTATGAAAACGCACAGCAAGATCGTAATAAAATATTTTCATCATTCCACCCAAGTGTTTGTCTAATTTTGGCTTTCAAACAACCAAATTGTCCAATCTTCTTCTTAACGGATGCTCGATATACAAAGATGGCTGATGCTAGGTGCAATTCAATTCACGAGGCTATCAAATTTGCTAAATTCTTTGATTTGTCAGGAATTGTTACATTAAGTGCAACAATTTTAGAGGCACCTGAGTTGATCAGGACAATCAAGAAAACTGGCCTGTTGTTGTTTACATATGGAAAGTTGAACAATAATGTAGAGAATGTAAAATTGCAAAGAAAGGCTGGTGTTGATGCTGTTATTGTGGTGATTTTATTTTTTATTTAATTAATTATTGATGATGATCAATCAGCATGATTATTTATTTTAATTATTTATATAATAATTGATGAATTAGGGATTCAGTTTTGGCAGTTAGAAAAGGTTTGCAGCAAAATGAACAAGAGGAAAATACTGAAGAATAATTGTGAAATTATACATACACATAAGCATCTTTTCAATTTTTCATATTTTATTTATTTGTTTGTTTGTTTTTATTTTATCTATTATTTATGTTGTATATATATCAGAGAAAATTTTGTATAATAGTATTTATTGTATTTTTAGTTATTTATTATTTTTTTTTCAAAATTTTTGAATAAATATATTAAAATTTTTTTTATATAGTAATAGTGCAAGACACCTAATCCCGCAACTTTCTTCGTCACAACGACAGATTTGGGAAAAAATTCCCAATCAAAAATGCAATAAAATTTTGCGGTCACGTGATAATAATAATAAATAAAAATCTTTATTATATATATATATATATATATACGACGTCAAGTCGCTCCAAACGAATACTATTCTATGGTAAAACGGGGGGGGTTGTTCATTGTAAATAATTTAAATTTTTTTTATAATTTTAAATTAATAAATGTCACAACAAGATTACGTCGTTAAAAAAAAAAAATAAAAAAAAAAATATATATATATATACTGCAATTCTTTTTAACATATTTCTCCCAAGTGTATTCCCACCATGTAATATATTTTTGGTGCTAAGTGGGAATAGCACGTCTATTTATGCATTTCTTTGATCAATGCAATATTGTCTATTTTATTTCAACGTTATTATTATTATTATCTTTTTTATATTTGTAATTGTCACGTGATAAAGATTGGCAAATAAAAATTTAAAATTTTCAATTCTTCCCAATTCGTTCATTTTTAATATAAAACTATATAGTGATTCTGATTTCTAGTTTTTAATATAAAAAATCGCGTGTAACACGACAGTTTTGGGGTTAACATAGTAAACTCGTGCAACTTTGAAGCTAGATTTCTCCATGGTAATGTGACATATCAACAA